TCAGTTTTTGAAAATCCCTAGACCATGTTTTAAAAATCCTTAATACATTAATACAATAATACCATGATTTTGAATTGTACTAGAATTATTGTACTTACAATAATTGTACAATATTTGAATCTGAAAATACATAATTTTGGGATAAAAATTGAAATGGATTGGGAATGTTAGTATTTCTAAGTTGGTACTCCTACATTTTAGTTGGTCCCCAATTTAGGCGTTTATTCCATGAGATTAAACTGATAAATAATGCTGATGATAACGGCTGTTATCTCGGGGACCCAACTGCCCGATGCCCCTCTTTTGCAACAAAAATCGATAGTTTGTATAATCGATTGTTATTATATCGATAGTGTATAATGCAGTTATATCGATTATTATTAATTTGTACATTGCATACTTATTTTAATTATTGTATTATTAAATAGTAAACACCAGTCTTGTTAAGTATTCGAATACTTGTATTTAAATACTAGTATTTAAATACTTTTTTTGTATTTTAAATACTTTTTTTGTATTTTAAATACTTTTCAAATACTTTCGACCCGTGTATTTTTAAATACTTTAAAAATACTTTTTTTTTGTATTTTTATTCGAGAATACTAAATACTTTTATTCTAGTGTTCAACTCAAAATTTCAATAATTACAAATTTTTCGCAATATACTATTTTAAATTTTGTTTCTAAAATATTATTCTATTATTCTATAATGATAATAGTTTTGACTAATGACTGTCTTAATGAGAATTTATAAATAAGGTTTCCCCAAAACACAATCAGATAAGTGATAACAGAATGACTGAAACCCCCGTCTGCTCCTCTCTACCGTAGCATTAAGTAATTAATTAATGATTATCTATTGACTATTATCTTATATCTGCTTGTACTTATTAAAGTATTATTAAGTTATTGAAACGTTTATAAATAAGTTTAAATACCTATATATTTACATATAGTGTTTAATTATATATATTAATTATTATTTATTAATAAAATTAACATTTCAATATGACATTTATTGAACTAAAAAAAGTATTTTTTAAGTATTTTGAATACTTTTAAAAAGTATTTGTATTTATATTCAAATACTTTTAAAAGGAAGTATTTGAATACGTATTTTAAATACTAATGATAACAAGTATTTAAATACGTATTCTGAATACATTTGAAAAGTATTCTTAACAAGACTGGTAAACACCTAACTAGGTAAAGACATAAGGTATGTTTGTTCTTACTGGTCATACCGTCATTTTATCATTACCTAATGCTTACATAATAATTATAATAAAACTACAATTGATCATTTGAAATATTTTATTTTTTATTTTTTACAAAAACTTACACAGAAATTGTACGTTTTTTTTTTTATAATTTTGTAATTACACAACAAATAGCATGATAGTAAAAATAAATTATAAAAATCAAAGATACAACAGAATATTGAATTTATCTTCACATTAAAAACAATTTTATAGATACATTATTTTTTGATAATAATTTCAATCACAAAAGAAATATTCATAATGACATGATAATAATTAATAAACATGATTATATAACACATTTTTTTCATATAAAAATAAATTATACAAATATTGAAGATACAACAGAATATTGTATTTATCTTCACATTAAAAACAATTTTATACATTAACATTTTTAGTTTTTATAATAATTTCAAGTCAAATTTAGTTTCTTAATCATAAATAAATATACACTTCATCTCTATATACTTTAATTATTCAATAATCAAAATATAAAATTATAAACGTTTGCGTGTTTTATGTTTAAAATAATAATTATGAGCTGCTGTTTTAAGAATATCTGTACTTTTTGAATGGTTACTTCTATCCAAACCATTTAAAATATGGTTTATATGTTTAATGTAAGTGAATAGAAAAAAGTTTTTGAATTTATCATAAATTAAATATTTTATATTATCATGAATAGGACATTTAATTGTAAAATCTATATTTATTTCAAATAATAATATCAATTGCTTGCCTATACTTTCACTGTCAATACTAGGTAAAATATATTTGGTTGTATACAACATTTGATATATTATTTTTTGAAAGCTTTCACTAGGATAAAGTAATGATTTGGTTGTATAATCTCTAACTCTTATTAAATTATTATTTTTGACATTTGAAATAAGAACATTTTTGCAAAGTCTACAAAATTTATTTTCCTTTAGCACCGTACGAGCTAAATATCCACTTATATATCCAATTGTCATATCAGTGAAATCACATACTTCAAATGTATTTGGTAGGTCTAACATGGGTATATCAATTATAATATTGTTCTCTTCAGGTTCTTTCAATACACAATTTGTGCCACTTTCAATAAATTGCTTTAAATTGTCCAATGTTTCATCAGTATCATCGTGTTCACAATTTCCAGCAGATTTTAACGATGTGAAATTGTTTATCAATAATGTTTTAAATGAACAAACAAATTGATATGCATCTGGATTGATATTTCTGACACCATGACTGCTGACACTACCGAAAAAACATTCTAAAGAATCTTGGTTGACTTGCCTTGGTAAGAAATATTTAAAATTACGTTTTTTCAGTTGAAGCCAAAGGTATATAAATGATTTAAGAGATATTATCCAGTTCTTGATACAAGGGAGTATCGTAGTTTTACCGTTAGTTTTGTTGACGAACTTCATAGATTCAAAAACCTTGATGGCATATTTCCAGTGATCCATATGAGAAGATTTATCTGTTACTGCACTTCGTAGTGGTTTTCCTAACTCAGGGTTGATTGTCCTGGCATTAACTGAATCAAATGTCTTATCCATGAATAGACAAAATTTGGCCGTGCCTACAGCATTGGCCAGCAAACTTCCTTTAGGGGCTAAAAAGGTATAATGTAGTATAATAATAGTAACTTAAACACATTATAAAGATAAATCAATTAAATACACATACCATTATCAGACACCAATTACATTGTTGAAGCTACTTTGTGGCTAAAGACTTGTGCTGCATTTGAAACTTTCATTTTGCTTCTGGCAATGTTAATGTGGTTGTCGTTTAGTTTAACAAGAGTTCTTAGTTCAAATTCTTCATTTTTCTTATCGAATTCGTACATAGCAACAATATGATCCCAAGACGCTGTATAAGTATTACCGTCCATGTCAAAAATGACATCTTTATTAAATAAATTGTTTCTTATACATTTTAACAAATGAGGAGGATCAAATATTGGTATTATTTCCTGGCCATCAATTTCAAAACCTAAATTTGTTTTCTCCATATTACATTCAGCATAATTTTTACATGTTTCAGACATCAAATAATTTATTGCAGCTCGATTGGTTCCTCCTTGGTCACAAACAGTTGCTACAACTTTAAGACCAGTTTTGTTCACACTTCTGACAATACATTTCAAGTAGGAGACTAAATCAACCGTTTGAATAGTGCTGGTGCTATAATAATAGGCATACGGCTGTTTCCACTTCTTAACAATCCTTCTCAACATAAAAACTAGAGCATGATCAGCAAACTTTGGTGTTTGGCTATTCTGATTTTTCTGATGGCCGAGTATCATGTCGTTTTTTTTGTCATACCTTAATCCAGCACTTAACGCCATTTCATCAAAAATTAATATACAGTTTTTATTAATATCTTTTAATTTTGTAGACTGGTGTTTGAGGTTTTCTTGAATGTGTAAATTTATTCCTGGTTTAAATGGAATTCTACTTAACATTGATGTTAAAGTAGATCTTGATGGAAGAGCAAATATTGATGAAAGAAACCTATAACCTTTAGGTGAAGTTTTGTATATTGAAAGTGATAAAATCTTGTCATCTAAAGTGTATCTTCTGCCTTTTGGATTTCTGTGTTGAATATTAATCTGTGTCTTAATAAAATCTAGGGTTGTTTTGTTTAGTTTGTCAGCTAAATTGTTACAACTATCAGAAATGACAAATTTTTTAGCCATCTTTAATTGGGTTTTCAAAGAACAGGTTTTCTTTGAAATTAAATTCACTTTTTTGATAAACTTTTTTGCTGTTGCGTATAGTTTGCCTTTTCTTGGTGTTAATTCTGATACATTTTTCATTCCAATCTGTTTCAGCAAACATAACTTCTTTTTAATAACTTTTACATCAACAGAGCCAGATATTGATTTGATCGTAGGTGTTTCTATATAAATCAAAGAAAGAGATAGTTATGAAAATGTAATAACATAATAGTATGTATTTTATTACCTTCAGTTAGTTCAGGTAATAAAGGTATAGCCAAAGGTGATGAACAGCTAACATTCACAAACTCAAATGAGTTGTTAGGTGATTGGTAAACAGAGCTTACAGAACTAGTAGTTAATTCCTTTGAAGGCGTGGCTAAAAAAATATTTAATCAGGTAATTATAACAGTTTACTTAAATATATTATGTGTTTAATTCTTACCTTGAGATACATTAAGCAAAGGTAACGCCAGAGGTGATGAGCAGCTAACATTAACCAGATTCATTGATTCATCAATTGTAATGTCAGATGATTTGTTGACAGGGCAGCCAGAAGGAAGTATAACTTAACATTAAACAATTAAAAACATATATTAAATTGTTTAGAATACAAACATTCAAACGTTTAGATACTACCACCAACAAAAAAAACACATACAGAATATACTGTAATGAAACTACAATGAGTACCTACATATTTTATTAATACAATGTATAGTTTAAGAAATAATATAAAGTTATATGGAATGTGATTTATAAAGCATTGGGTAAAAATAATCGAAACCATCCTCTTAGTAAATAATGAAGATATAGCTAATGAGTTTAATTCTTAAATATTTCAGAACTTAAATAGTTAATATAGAAAATGAAAGTAGTAAACCTGTGATTCTTACACATTCTGTACCTCAGGGAACAGTTTTAGGGCTATTACTATTTATAATTATCTAAAATGTAATATTATTATAACAATAATAATAATATTAAAAAATATATGTTATCTTTTCATAATAATACTTGTAAACAAATAAGTGATTGTAATTGTATTGAAATAAAATAATAATTAACAGAAATAAAGCACTTATGTTTGGTTTATGATAATTAACTTAATTAGCTAAAATATCATATTAAAATAGGTGTAGCCATTTGAATAAGGACATATTTTTAACATCTTTGAAATACTTAGACAAATTTTGGATCTAAAAGTTTTAAGGACAGTACTTATATACTGTATTAGTAAATTCTATAATTTCATATGAAATAAGCCTATTGGGTGGGGTGGTACTTTTAAAACCAATCTTACATCATTAAACACCACAATTAACTCTTTAATAAAATATATCTTAAAAAGGCCATATCTCACTCCAGCTAGCATAATAATATATTATATTAATTAATAAATTCTGAAACAAACTATGTTTGATTAAAATAAATTATTATTGTAGTGTAACATTACCTTGACATGTTTGTTGAATTTTCATCAATTAAACCATAAGATATGTGAGTATGTACTTTCTGAGGAGACTTTTAGAGTCCATCCAATATTGTAACTCATTTATACTTTCAATATCATTATGTGAATCTCAAGTCTTGATGTAAACTAGGAGTACAAAAACAAAAACATTTTTAAGCATAATTTAATTATATAAAAAATAATACAAGTAGAAAAATTAATTTTTGTAATAGAAATTTTGAAATTTATACAGCTGTTTAAATAATAACAAAATATACCAATTTTTGTTACAGATGATTAAAATTTAAACAATAATTGATTAAAATAAATTATTATAGGTTAACGTTACTTTAAAATATTTGTTGAATGATCTTCAATTAAATCATAAGAATTTTGAGCATGTACTTTTTGAGGAGATTCACTTTTAGAGCCCATCCAATCTTTTAATTTATTTATATTTTCAATATCAATATAATTTTGTGAATCTCTAGAGTCTTGAAGTAAACTAGAAATACAAAAACAAAACAATTTTTAAGCATAATTTAACTATTTAAAAATTAATACAAGCCAAAAAGGTGTTCTGCTATACAGTAGGTTACAAGTGGGTCACTGTATAATGGATGGTATTAAATTTGAATTCAATGATATAATATTGTTGTATAAGAAAAACGATTCTGAGCGGAGACAATATGTCAGTCTAGGTTTAAGACATATTACATACATATCTATGGTATTTTAAAAAATATTGACCTATAATAGGTACCTATAATAAATACCAAATTAATCATATCACAATTTCCATTAGGCACTTATAGTGTGTTATACATCAACAAAAACAATGATACTTTCATAGATATATAATAGTAAACTTTAGAAGTTTCAAGTACCCACGAATAATATTATACAATCACAACAAAATAACTAAAAAAGTTATTCTAGGTTTTTCAATATGTAATTTCGTCCAAATTTGAACTTAAAATGACTATAAAAATAAGCTGTGCTTGTGTATTTTTTAGACTTTTTGGTAACAGAATTAACTACTTACATGAAATCTTGTTTTAAATTTTCAATCCTAAGATATAAAAGTTGAACATTTTATAAATCATCATCTCAGGCAGTACATAATCATAAAATGATCTTCCACGTCCTCTTGTATACAAATGATAACAAATACCAGGTCTTACACGACCTGCTCTACCCCGACGTTGTCTACAATTAGCTAAGCTCACCCATTCTTCATTAGAATGTCCAATGTTATTTTCTGCATCGAATACTTTTAATTTCATCCGGCCATTATTAATAACATAAACTACATCGTCTATGGTAACTGAAGTCTCTGCTATGTTTATGGATAATATGATCTTACGAACACCTATAATAATGCTAACATTAGACAAAAATGCATTTAAAGAATTTTAATATTTAATGCTTACCCCGAGGCGGCGATTCAATAACCAATTTTTGAGATACAGTACATGGTGACATGGAATGCAAAGAAATCAGTATGTACTGAGCTTCAAAATAAAAAAATTATATTTATAAACAGATACCAAAATTTTTATGAAATTCTACATTTATACAATATACTTTACATGTATTTCCAAAGCCTTAGTCTTCTAAAATTTTAGTCAGTTTTGATATTTGATCCCATCCAAAAAGAAACACAAGTATTGCATCATCATCTTTATTGTTACAAATGTAGTATATGGGTTCTAAAATCAAATCGTAATCTGTATCTTCATTCTTCAGACATTGGATTTTCCAACCAATTCAATATTGCAAAAGCATATTTTTGGAATCTCTTCATTTCACTACAAAAGATTTTGTTATTTGAATATTACATTGATTATTTGTTAACAATATGTAAGTAAATATTTCTTAATATATCTTTTACTTGCATACTTACTTTACATAAGGAATTACAAATTCAGTGAATGGATCACCTGGTTCAATTTTGAGAGATCTTTGTGTCGGTTCATTGTAATACTTGGAAAATGCTGCAGCATTTAATGTTGCACTCATTAATATAACTTTAAAATCAGGTCACTGGATTTACAATACACAAAATAATTAGTACAATTTAAATAAAATACTGTGCATACTGCATAGTAATAAACATAATATGCATATAATTACAACAGGTATGATGCTCTTGGAAATAGTTAATGTAAAATCACTAATGGTGTCGCGTTCATGTATTCCATCAATGATAATATTATGTGAGAAATAATTTAAAGCTGAATCTCTTTGGATATGTTGAAGTAAAATACTAATAGTATAAAATAATATAGATCCATATTCACGACCCAATTTTCTAAAATATAATACATTATTTGATACAATATAATACACTATTAGTTTATTATATTCACTTAATACTATAATCATGTAAATTGAAGAATAAATCATTTATAATAAATTAATATATTTGTATTCTATAGTAGGTATTTCTCAACTTACTGTGAAAATGTAGTTAAAAATAAATGTAATATTATATATAAAATAAAAAATTCATATTAACCTATGCCAATAATTAAGGTGTACAACTTATTAGTTTGTACCTATCTGAAATTTTAGATGTTCACAATGTTCACACACTTCAATAGAACTTTATTTTGTATCAACTTGACACTTAATCGCAATGTCCCAAAATACAGATCCAATTGTCATAACAATCAGATCAATAGTGATGAGTTCTAAAATAACTTTTTGTTTCTAAATAAACAAAAATGTAGTTAATAACCATATAGTATCATAGTTTTTATCAATTAAGTATGGGATTTGTTAAAATTATAGTAAATAAAGAAAACTAATAATTTCAATGTAATTCCATCAAAATGTCTTATCCCTAATAGTTAGCTCAAAACAAGTTAAATTGTTTTAAAAATTGTATGGTGTACAGAAAATGAAAAAAAAGAAATGTCTTTTCCGATGTATTTGAAAGCACCTGGGAATTTTAAATTTTTACCTGTTATCCAACTACATTCATTTTCCCTTCAGAAGTCCAAACTAGTTATGTGTTTCTTTGCAATTTAAATATGTTGAGGCCCTTTGTGTTATTGAAATTGGGTTGTTCCTCAGCAAAATTGTATTGCCTAAAAAATTAAAACTTTGTTAAAAATATGTCAGTGCACCATTATTTTCTCTCTTTGAATAACAAGCAACATGCAAGTGTGAGTACAGTAGATCCAGTTATGGAATGATAGCTTTAATATTAGAGTTATATGACATAATATTATAATCAAACTTAAAAGCAAAGATATTTTTCAAGGTACCTTATAGAGAAGCACTAAGCATTTATTTGTATTTTATTTTTAAAAAAAGTTATGGATATTTTAATATTGAATGATATAATTATTTATTTTGACTAAATGGGCTGAGCCCTTTTGATATACAAATTTATGTCCACGCACACAATTACATATTACACAATGTGTGTCCCGTGAACAGGTGGGTATGTTAGTTAGTAAAATAGTACAGTAAAATAGCTTTAAAAAATAAACCTATTAACAATATTCTCACCTTTAAGTTTCAAGACTCGTTCCAATATGGTATGTATATAATTATCTTCAAGAAAGTCAACGTCTGAAAATTGTCAACACATTGGCTTGACTTCCTAGTTCCTTGTATGTGGTATATCATATATTTCAGTTTTGAAAACCATAATAAGTATAATCCACTGTATGAACTAAAAACGATAAACCACTAAGTAACTTTTGGCTTTGGCAAACATTTAAAATCGGAACTTGAGTAATATACTTATATAAGTGTGTGTGAATTAGACATTATTAAGTTTCTAAGGCTTTTCTGAGTGAATTAAAATCATCGACTGTAACGTCTCCAAATCTTTTATTTGTCTGTTCGTTTTCTTCAAACTCATCGTTGGAGAAATATAATTTTCTGAAAATATAAAGTTGTAAAAAAAATATGAATACCTACCTAATTAATATTAAATGATTTTACCTCTTAGATGATTTACTAGTCGTGCTCAGAGTGGTACCAGTGTTGCTGTAAATAATTAAAATTTATTTTATATTGTTTATTTTACTCCTCTAAACAGACATGCAGTTTGGATTATGTTTTGTAACAGCCTCTGGCCACAATAATATCTACTATATACTGAGCCTTGTTTATAATTACTGATTGTGAAATGATTACCGCAGATTCTGCTCCAGATAGATATTAGGTAATCATTTAATTTGAAAATTTATTTCCTTCTATTTTCATTTTTTGTAAATCTATATTTGTGAACAAATTAGACTGGCACCATATTATTAAGACATATAATCAGTACAACTAGAAAATAATACTTACAAATGAAAATTATGGCAATGTGGCGAGGCGATACTTTGGATGTCTTACTAAAAAGAATACACTTATGCATGGCAACTTTTTACTAAAACGTATGAATACAACACTGTACGAATGTATAGTAGTCTGTATTTACTATTTCCATTCAAATTGCAAATACCTAATGGATAATCGAATGATTCAAATGAAGTCGGCGAACAATAAAATTATATTATGTTGTTATAATTCATTTGATAACATTTATTACTATCTTAGTGATAACGATAAGCACGGTATTTATCACAGATATTATATATATATTATTATATATTATATCTGTGGTATTTATAGACTTAAATTTGAATATTATTTTGTTTTAATGTTTTTGTTGATGTGATAATGTGATATTACCTACTTATTAGTTATTACCATGACAAAATAAATT